TTATTTATTTTCTCAGAGGACCCTCCTGAAAACCACCTTATGGTGATTGGAGGCCTCCTCTTAAAATATTATGTATTATTTATTATTATTATTAGACAGTTTAAAATTTATGTGATACAATACGGGACTTGAAAAAACCTTAATTCCAGCTTGCCCTGGGCAAGTCTTAGGTTGCTCTTTTAATGATTTAATTGGCAGATGACTTGCCTGATCCCTTGCCCATTGGGCAAGTGAGAGTGAAAAGTTTCTTGCCCAGAAGGAGAATCTACCTGTCCCAGATGATCGAACAGCACTTTTTTTGGAGCCCTGCAATATTGTTAGAGGCTACATGATATGTACATGCGTATACATCTGTAACATATTAAGCTGTAAATAAGTAATTTTCATTTTTGACAAGGATGTTTTTGGAGTATTGTGATATGTGATAAGTGTAAATGTGATAAGTGTAAATGCTCACTGTATTTGTACGTGTGTGTCTGGAATGATTCTTTGGAAGGTTCTTGTGTATTATGAATTTGCGTTTACTTGTTTTGATTACTTTTAATTTTTTTTCCTTTCAGGGAAGTTGGTAAAAACCTTGTTGTTCCTGGAGGAGCAAAAGTGATTGATGCCCAAAAAAAGCTTGTTATGCCTGGTAATAATGATTCATTAAAGAAAATTTGTTACTTTTTGTTGTGTTTTCCTGTACAAAAAAACTAGCCACTATTGTTCGTGTTCCCCAGATTATGCAGAACTTGGCCAATTCATATTGTTGTTTTTGCAGAGGACAGCTACAAAACATATTTAAAGATTTATAACATATGCTTGCAACCATTGTTTTACTCATTACATGTATGTCTTTTGTTTGGTGGCATTATCATTGCTGTTACCGTCTAATTAATCGAGGAGAAACTATTTTTCAAGGAAATGTTGTCTTGTGTTTGTGAGGGTGAGTTTTTGCAATGATAATATGTTACAATTACATGATGAGCTTGAGATTTTTAGATCATGTGATACTGCAGTTGACGAGGGTGCAGTCGGAGTCAACAATCACACAGAGAAGTCAAAACTTTATCTAAATCCTCTTCACACCACTTTGAAAATGCAAAGAGCTGCCAGTTCGTTAACAAGCACACACCGCTAGGCTACTCACTATCTACAGCAGAATAGATAGTGAGTAGCTTAGCCAATCAGCAAATGGCATTTGTGGTAGAACACTAACTACATTTTTACTAATACAAAGTAGATGTACATGTACACTGTTCTGCTGTTTTTATTTCATGTTTAGTTTTTATTTTCAGGTGGAATTGACACTCACACGCACATGCAGCTTCCATTCATGGGTACAGTCGCTGTGGACGACTTTTACACTGGAACAAGAGCAGCACTGGCTGGTGGCACCACTATGATCAGTGAGTAAAATGCTATCTTTTATGGTAAAGGAACTGTTATTATTTTGTTTATAGAGTACCATCCCAGTTTGGAAAAAGTAATTGCTTTCTAGTCACTTCATTTACTTTAAAAAGGCACATTATTTTGAATTGAGGCCATAGAAGGCCTTGAAAATGAAACAGAAATATAGATGCAGGTTTTCTTTTAAAACTTTTTTTACATGTAGCTTCTACAGAATTCCTTGAATTTTTTCGAAAGGTCCTCTCTAACTAGATAAAATAATTACGTGTACTATGTATGTATGTGCAAACTTTATGTGACCTGAGGAAATCAAGTCCTTGAACATTGCGGAGTAATCACGTGAAAAGTCCCTGAATAGTCGGCAAAAAAAAAAAAACATTTCTGAGGTCTACATACATGTACATGTTCATGTATAGTGGATGGATCATGATATACATTTGTTTACATTGTAACTTACCACACATGCTAATTTAAAAACAACTTCCTGCTACGTGTAACATTATTGTACTGTTTTCAAATGCAGTTGACTTTGTCATCCCCAAAAAGGGTGAATCACTCTTAGAGGCTTATGAAACGTGGAGAAAGTGGGCCGATGAGAAAGGTACTAGTGTTTGGACATGTTTTTGTTCAATTTCAATCTGTGCACTTTAATAAAATAAAATCAGTTGCCTGTTGAGGGAACTCCAAACCTTCATGGGTGTCCTTCAGACAAAACTTTGTACACATGCTGTCTGTAATGAAACCCCCACGGGTATCCATGTAAATGGAAAGTTTAATTATTTTCACGTGACCAGTCTCCCAGTTCACATGGGCAGTACATCATGTCCTTAGAACTTTGCACTTGTTGGCGGACACAGAGAATCTATATTTGTTGAGCACATGGTTTACATGTAATTGCTCATAGAGGCTGTACATGTATATCATGAAGGCCTCTGAAAGTACATTATCCAATGATCCAGTTTTTAACCCATTGATGCCTGTGTCATCCGAAACCAGCTGTGATGAGCATTGGCCTTTGTTCTGCTTCTGATGTCATCACCTTTGTGCAAAATTGGCATCATCTATACTCAGGTTCTGCAGGAGGAAAGATCTTCCAATTATACCCACATCAGGGTGATGTGCTCAATGGAGCATGAAATAAAAATTACGCACAAAAATGTCCAGAAATTTGGGTGAAAACTCAGAGCAAAATTTCCTGCAACTACACCATGGCAAAAGTTGCCCGTCTCGATGATGCTGTTTCAGAAATGTTTTAACTGGAAGCAAGCTCAGGAGAAGGTCAATCAGTGCAGCAAAAAGATAAGAAATTGAGAAAAAGGAAAGGCGAAAAAAGTAAAAAAAAAAATAAATTAAAAAACCGAAAAGCCTAAAGATGTAGGTCACTTTCTCCTCCAAAAACACACTTGAATTTTTATTTCTGTGCATGCCCGAGCAAAAATGTCGTAAAAGGCAATGTTAGTGGAAAGAAAGGCCATTAATTTTAATTGTAATGTTGCAAATGCCTTTTTGAGTAGATTGGAGCTAATTTGGCTCATATCCCGGCTGAAAATCTCCAAAATGTCCAAAAAATGCATTTTTGGGTTAGTAGACATAATTATACAGCGGTATTATGTGCTGTAGTAATTTGCCATGTTCATTGCAGTTTGTTGTGATTATGCATTCCATGTTGCTGTCACTTGGTGGAACGATGAGGTTGGCGAGGAGATGGAGACTCTTGTCAAAGAGAAAGGTATTTGTCTGATCGTCATCTTTCTTCTGCTAAATACATGTACAATGTATGCATTTGTACATGCATACTATGTAAAAGGCGTAAACTGCACCCTCCACTATTTAGCACTGCCGTATCCTTTTGAAACCTTGCTGCCCCTGTATGGGAGACTTTCAATGGGAAGCATGTCGATTTTACAACAAGTACAATGATTTCCCACTTTCTTTGCAGGTTCTGATCATTATTTTAATCAGTAAGATGACATGCCTCGGAGAGAAATATTAGGGTTTTCTTATAAAGGGTTATATTTTGTCTCCAAACTTAGGATTTTTTGCCATCTTAAGTGACAGTAATTTATTAACATTCTGAAGTACAGCTGTACCAAAATTAATTAGGTATACAAATATGCATTTTTGTTTTTCATTTTCACATTGTTCCTAACATTGTATGCATCTCTTTAGAAATCCCCCATTGTAGACGTTTTATTAAGTTCATTCAGCTCTCAAGTCAGTTTTTCATTCTATTAATTATTTTTATGTCTTATTGTTGGTGTACATACATGTAGTTATTTGAAACCTCAGTGTACGGAAATAAAAAATAGTTATAATATGTGAATCTGGACAATTTCATACAGGCTTAGTAATTAACTCTCTCACATGACTGTGTATTTATTTGCTTATTTTTCAGGTGTGAATTCCTTTAAAACCTTCATGGCTTATAAAGATGTTATGATGCTAGAAGATGAAGAGGTAACCTGAACACATCTATCTGTGTACAAAGTACATGTGTGCTTCAGTAAGCATTTTACCATAATGATTATTCAATGAAAGCACCCACCTTTCTATCACCACTCTTCCTTGATAATTACATTGTATGGACTTAAAAAATAGTGTCGTCCGGTTGTCTGGGACTTGTAGATTTTCCTGCTGGGCAAGTAACTTTAGTAAAGTAAATCTAAGTAAACTTAGATTTGCCCAGGGCAAGCAAAATTTAAGAGCTGCTTTTCTGTGGGAGGTCCGGTGGCCTCATGGTTAGTGTGCTTCACCCTGAAGCGAGCGGTCCGGGTTCAAGCCCTGGCCAGGGACATTGTGTTGTGTTCTTGGGCAAGACACTTAACTCTCACGGTGCCTCTCTCCACCGAGGTGTATAAATGGGTACCGGTGAATTTAATGCTGGGAGTAACCCTGCGATGGACTGACATCCCATCCAGGGGGGAGTAGAAATACTCCTAGTCGCTTCATGCTACAGAAACCGGGATGAGCTCCAGCCTGATTGGCCACTTGGCTTGTATGCAGACTTTACCTTTTACCTTTTTCTCTGAAATCCATGGTTCATCTTCCTTTATATCATTTCTACATCACAAAACACGTGTTCATCTCTATCCCGTATGTGTACATGTAGCTTGTATCCTGTTACATGAGTCTGCACTCATGAGTATTTTCCTTGTTTGGGGCAGATGTTCCACTGTTACAGCAAATGTAAGGAAATTGGAGCTATTGCACAAGTTCATGCTGAAAATGGAACTCTCATAGCAGAGGTGAAGTACTGTTCATATATTAAATACTGTACATTTAAGACCTATTAGGCATACATGTACATGTAGTCCAAATGTCGCACTGGTGCCATGCCAAACTCAAATCAATTTGGCCTGGCAGTGGCGTGACAAAAGAATGGGAGTGGTTTCAAACATTTAATTTAATTCAGTCATGCCGACAATATAAAGATATTTGCTTTGCTGAAGACCATGTCAAATGCTAAAAAGCAACAGCAGCTGATGCAGCAAGCTGTGAATTCAGTTCGGCACAGCAAGAGCACGCTTTTTGAAGCCAAATTCATGCTACTGCTGTGCAGAATGGCAAGGCCTGCCGTACTAAGTAGTTGTGCCAAACTTAATTCAGCCTGCTGAACTGAGTGGTTTCAAACATCATGCTGCTGCCGTGTGTACATGTAAGTCAAATGTAATTCTTGAATTTAGTTTGGCACGGCAGTAGCACAAAGTTTGGAATTGACCTAAGATACATGTTCCACTTTTATTAATATACATTTTTGAAATCCCTTCTACAAATATACATGTACTGTACATTGCACCGATGAATTACATGTAACTCTGCTCCGATGTTGATCCCCTTCAAATCTCTTGGTAACGTCACTTTGCATTGCTAGGGGTGGATGAAGAGTAGCGGACTAGATCCATTCCGCTAGACGACTAGTTTAAAGTCACCCATTGTCTTGATCACTAACCAAGCAGAAGTGATGGGCACTTGTGAGACAACATAGTTGGTGCAGTGTCTTAATCATTTTACCAATTTAATAAAATTAATGTAGATGTAGATGTAGAATTTTGTGTGAAATTTAGGAGTAGCTTAGTCTGGCAAGACATATTGACCAGTGGCAATCTGAAGAACTCTATACCCTGACATCTCAATTACAGTGTGCAACACGTCTCTCTTGCAGAATGCAAAGAAGATGATTGCTCTTGGAATCACTGGTCCTGAAGGACATGAAATGTGTCGCACAGAGGAAGTGGAAACAGAAGCTTGTGTGAGAGCTATCATGATAGCCAACCAGGTGAGTTGGGTGATTACACATTGATTTGTTATTGGCTGGAAGCCATAGCCATTTCTTTTGAACAGGTTCTTCTCCATTCTAAGTTAACCAATTTCTTTTTTTACATGTATGTGCTCTTGTTTTAACTACATGTATTACATGGTATGCACTAGCTCAATTTTTTAACCAATTTGTAGTCAACAAGCTGTCTCACAAGTCAACAAAAGCTAGTACCCTGGCATTATTGAGAACCAAATGTATCAAGGCAGCTCAACTGTCCTTGGGTAAACTAGCTCCACCCTCCCTCCAAACAATGTTATTGTTTTTTAATTTCTAGCACTGAACACACAAGTCATGCCTGACTTTGAATTAAGTGTACACGGTAATCATTACCAGATGCATTTAAAATAGAAGAGGCTAGTTAAGGTGGCTCCCTAGAGTATTTACTAACACCCTTCCTATGGAGTGCAAATTAGAATAGGAAACTAAATTAGTCTCTCCTAAAATTTTCCCTGTAGAGATTTACCAGTATGGGTACTGTTAGAATAAGGCTTATTTTTTGGTTGTCAATTTTTGGATTAAGGGCATTACCATGGCAACATCTCATCTAATGACAGATACATGTAGATATATTCCTCATTTTGGCCTAAACTCCTTAATATTTATACTTTCCTTCGGTGAATTTTCTTCATACATGTACTTTGCCACATCATGGAAATGATATTGCCTGGCATTTCGAACTGATAACTAGACGCTTCGCTGTGTGTACCCGGGCAGTCGTTATACTGAGAAGCACCAGCTATATTGTAATTGAGCTAAATGTTCTGCATTTGAAGTTGTACGAAATTCAATGGAATTGATGTGCTTAAGCTACAGTATTCTGCTTTTGATTGCATTTCTTGGAATCGATTAATAGCTTATTACTTATACATGTAGCTTTAGGATGTGAAATGAGTCAAGGTCTTTATACCAGCCTGTAAACATTTCAGCCTTTTTCCTTAGCCTTTGTTGTTGTTATTTGCGTTTCTCAAGCAAGCGAGACATTTTGAATTTCATAGTTATGGCGGTGTGTGACATAGACCTACGAATGCATTGTCAAAATCATATACTTATCTCGTGATTTTTAGCCCGTTAAGTATGTAAATGCGTGTTTGTTCAGTACAGATAATCAGTCACCTAGATAGCCAAAGTAAGTTCCAGATGTTTACACTATTTTCTGGCCGCAGTGTTGGCGTACCTCGGAGATACACCAACATGGTGGCTCCATACTGGTCTCTGTAAATTTTTGCAAAATATTTCGATGAATATCTGAGCTTGGGAAAACGCACAGACTTAAAAATTAGAGGAGTGTCATCTTAAGTAATCTCCTATAACATCACAATTTCTTGATTTTATCTGCTAAATGGTTTTCGAATGAATTTTTTCTTGCGTCAGGATTGCGTGACAGTGCAAGCCAAGAATTGTTTTGCTGAGGTCAACATACATTAGTTTCTTTCAGCTTACAGTAAATTCGTTACATGAGTTTCACCCTTGTAAAGACACATAACTCTGTTACAAGAAAATAACGAGAGAATATCGTTTAGTTCAAGATTTATCTTTATTATACTTTACGAAGTTTCTCAGAGCGTTTTACTTAGGTGTACTTCAAGAGATACGTTGATAAACAAATTCTCTAACCTCTCTGCTCTTGTTGCTTAGACTTTCTTGAGTTCGTGCTGGGATTCTGCTTGGTTCATGATCACGTCTAAAAATACATTGACGCTTCTGAAGATGCTTTTACTCAAGTTGAAGAGTTGATAGCCCCAGTTGATGGCTCCTTTGGTATAACATGATTCTTGATAAATTCACTCAAAATGTTTCTCTCATAAATTGATCTCTCGTAAGGCTTGCAGACCGACCCGTTCCGAAAACGCTTAACGTCCTTTAGTGTTGGTCTGCCTCGAACAGTGTGTTCGTTTGTATGTGATTTCATCACCCTAGAAATCATGGCTTGCTTGCATAAGCCTTTTGATTCCCTGAGGAACATAGGGCCGCAACAACACTCCTCCAACACACT